TACAGAGTCTTACCTTCCAGTCTTCCGTCCGCGCCTTCGTTGGTTAGCTTCTCCAATCGTCGATGGTTGCTCTCCTCAAACGACAGCTCCCTCTTAGACCGGCCGGTAGCGGCCACAGGCACTGTAGTTAGGCATGGAGAGCATGTGGACGAAGTACAGAGTCACACCTTCCAGTCTTCGTCTGCGCGCTCGTTGGTTAGCATATCCATTTGGCGTTTGTAGGCTTTCCTCAATCACCAGCTTTCCCATCGTCAGTAGGTAACGGCTGCAATCGCAGTAGGTAGGCTTGACGCCGTATGAACGCCTACTAACAGGAGTAAATATAACTGTGCGTAAAAGGAGACACAAGCGAACACAAAAACAAAGACAGTTAGGGTAGGCATTGTCAGCGTAGAGCGAGACACGACGTGTGCAGTGCAGCATGAGAGAGCAAAAAGTGGCACCGGCAAGAGGCAGAGGACTATCGGGCACCAAGCCAATCGATAATCAAGTGCAACTATGCGCGGCCGCTTGCGCCCTTGGCGACGCCGACGCAGCCGACCCGGGAACAAATCCAAACCGCGAGCAGGCTCCAGACCCACTACCCCCTCCCCCCCAAGTACACCGGCTTGCGGCGAGCTCGCTTGCTATTAGGGTTCCCCCTTAATCTGCTCCAGTTGGCCTCTATGGCGTTCGTATGCCGTCCCGTTGTGGGATTCACGAAGCCCCTACGGCGGTTCACAGTGCAGTGCCTACAACCTTCGGACGGTAGGCGGGTGCAACCTTTCCACTCATCGGTTACGATAACACTACCAGCAGCCACCCACTTCCTTATGACGGGCCTCATGGACTCCCAGCTGCGGTTGTTAATCTGTTCAAATAGGGCTTTCCGCCTGCGTGTATCGTACATATATGACCCACAACTGCCGCCGCGGTCGTCCCCTGTTTTACTTGCCGCGACTTATGAGCGTCTCGTCTATCTGTACTTCCACGCCTGGTCCCCCAATTTGGGTTACGGCGGATAAATTTAAACTTAAAAGGGTTACGTAGGCCTACCAGCTGTTCTCACCATGGATACTTGCAAATCCCGTAAAACAGCGACCGCCAAGGTCGGGAGATTGCCGACTTGCTGTAGGTTGGTGCGGTGGTGTTGGAGTACGTCCAGGTATCTTAAACATTGTTCACGTTATGCGTACTAAACGGTGCATGCCGTGGAGATCACCGATATAACAAATAGGGAGGGGGTCAGTAAGGGGCCGGGTAGTGATGCAATTGTCATAAGCACTTTATACAAATACTCTTACCCAACCGCAGTACACCGCTGACAGCCCGCGTTCCCTTTGTGCATCGTACGCATCGTTCCTATCTAACGCACACCACTTTCAAGTGCGGCGCCAATGATCCCATTGGTTAGGCGCTTGGCGGTTCAGGTTTACTCGCCCCGGCGGCCAATCACATCACGTCCCCGGCCAGCCCTCATTTGATTGGTCATTGCCTACGGTTTTCCCTATTTGCGCGCCATCCTCCCCCTATTTTTGACTTCATTAAAACAAAAATTTATTTTCCTTCGATTTTCAACATTTTTCGGCTTCTATCTGCCAATTTAGTGCCCTTTGCCGTTTGCCCCGCCCGTTCTTCCCCTCAAAACCGCCATCCCGTTGTACCCGATCCACCTAGAGAGGATTTCTCACTGTGGCTGCCTGTTGGGCTTCTGCCGAAAACGCATTTCGGAATTTCAGTTGGTATTTTATGAGTTAGCTCACCTACTGCATATTCGGATGTTGGGTGATGTACTTGGCTGCATATCAGTCTAGTAGGTATCGAGTCTTCTGAAATAGAAGACAGAAGACGAACTATCTTGCTACCAAGTCGGCGTAAAATGTGCATGTATTCGCACAATTTCGATAGTAAGTTTGGGAGGTAACTCTGACAGTAATGCCTTTTTCCGCATACCGAATGAGCAGACACGCATTTTCAAAAGAGATTTGAGGAAATACCAGGCTTCGAAACGAAATCACAGGTTGGGGGGTCAGACGCAAAGAAGTTTAAATATCAAATTCAGGCATCACCAGAGACATTTATTTGGCGGGATAAAAAAGTCTCATCGGAGGTACAGAGGCTTGCAAAAAAGGATCAGCTATGACCCAGTTCTCCCATCAGTATGGGCGTTTGCAGACAAGCTGGAGTGTTGGTTTTAATTTTGTGGTTTATGTGCTACTTTGGGGAAAACCGGTTTTTGGCTGTCGAGGGCATTCATCCTCATCATCATCGACATGGACAGTAAGTTTGTAGATGATGGATTGTAGTGGGGACCAAATGGGTGAACCGACTGCGAACAGTAACCAGGCGCCGTGTAGGGGATATGGGCGTTTAATTGTGTGAGGAAGCAACACTACGACTGGATGAAGGTTCCTGAGTTGCCCAAGTCTGCTCAAACAAAGCGGCTAACCTTGCTCTGTTTTTGATTCTCCGCGAGGCCGTCTGTAATGATAAAAAAACAAATTTGGAATGGACCCAAACACTGCTACTTAACGTTAGTGAGTACGTAATTCCCTCTAAGTATATTATTACACGTGAATACCTTGGTCGTATCTACAACTGAAGCCAATAGGACACTGAGAGAAACACGTAAAGGATACGAAACACGGTATTGGTCAATTACGCGTCTCCTACATATACCAATTGCAGATGAACTGGCCTAGCCGCTAAGGTGTTAGCAAGCTTCTCAAGAGCATTAAATGGGGAACGTATCAAAGTCGCGTTGAAGAGTCACAAAAACGTGAAAATTGACAGAACAGCAGGCAGTTTCTGAGTCTAGGTTTGACTAGGATTTTAGGTTTTGAAGGTAGAGTGTTTATTAACTTAGACAGACTAATGCATAAAAATTTAGGTCTCGCCTATAGACCTAGAATATATTGATCTACTCCAGGTTCGCAGTTACTTTCTAAGGAAATTAAAAAGCAACAATCTCCGAACTAAGCCGTTGTTTTATTTTTTCCACTGGCCCATGAACATTTCTCTACTTTGCTGCAGGAAGCTGCCTCCATACAATAAAGCGAATTCGTTGTTAACTTCCGTCAACTGGTGATGTCAGGGTGATAACAATCTGCATACGTCTGAGAAAAAATGAAGGTTTGCGCTAATTGCGGAACCCAACAATCCGGGAGGGATGCATCCCTATACTGGGAACTCTTCACAGAACATTATATTATTTCGAAGTAAATGCGACCCTCAGAACTCCATTGCCTTAAAACTGCGATGAATGCATTCCAGTATTTATTGTACACATTCCCTGATAAAACTGCGTTAACAGCTGGGTAGTTACAGTAGGTGGGTTAACTCATGAAATGTCAACCGAAATTCCGAAATGCGTTTCGTTTCGAAAAGATTAATTAAGTAAAGTTGTAAAAGTAGTCAGCCTGCAACATAATTCTATAATATTTCAGTTACCGCAGGATACCGGCTTTCGAATGAATTCCATTCCGGCTACATGCAAAAACTACACTCTGTAAAAAAATGACTATATATGTGACATGTATTTTTCTCATTGATTTTCGATGCCCCTAAAAGTCCAATTATGTTTCATGGAAAACATGCATAAAATATTCCTTATTTTGCTCAGTCGGTAGATTATTACGTCTTCTTCTGCTTTTATACTCGAAGGCGGGACATACTTCGGTTTTACAAAAAAGTTTTCCAATTCCCTAATAATTTTGAACCCGACCTGACGTTACAGTTGCATTCGGGATTTCCAAACTACAAACCGTACATTTTCCGCGTAGGAAAACCACACATTTCTCTACGGTAATAGAGGACGACCATATAGGGTTCATAAAATTAAGCAGTGGATTTGATCCATATTGTTAACTTTACAAGCCACATTGCTAAATGCAGAGATATTACGATTTATGATGAGCCCCTTCACGGTATTTAAAAGTCCCACAATTAAAAACTTTTTTAAAACCGAGTTATGTCCCCCCTTCGAATATAATATTAGAAGGCGTAATTATCTACCGAATGAGCAAAAGAATAAATATTTGTATGCATGTTTTCCATGAAATATAATTGGACTTTTAGGGGCATCGAAAATCAATGAGAAACATGCATGTCACATATGTAGTCATTTTTTTACAGAGTGTAGTTTTTACGTGCAGCCGGAAAGAAGTTCATTCGAAAGCCGGCATCCTGAAGTAACTGGATTATTATAGAAGTATGCCGCAAAATGATTAGTTCTACAACTCTACTTAATTAATCTTTTCGAAACGGGAACGAATTTTGAAATTTCGGCAGACATTTCATGAATTAGCCCACCTACTGTATGTAGGGCGCGAAACGCTCTCTGCAATTCAGGGTCCCCGTCGTTCCGTGTCTACTACTAATGACCCTGTAGTCGCCGTATATTCACATGCCAAAATCAGAATGAACATCTGCAAAGGCAAGGGAGACGCGGTGGCCGTTTCGGACTTATTATGCATCATCAGACGACCTAATCGGTAGACCTGAGGGGCGAACATTTGGTTACGGATTCCTAGGTTAAAGGCCCAGTCGAACAAAGGCTCATTGATCTGGCGGTTGCTGTGGTTGAAGCAGGGGACATACCAGTTCAGTACTGTTTTGAGCCCCAGTCTAGAGCTCATGCAGAAGTAATGCTACAGAAGGAATACGAACCGAGTGTATGAACAGTTGATGACGGGAAATATACTCGAAATGGCCAAGCCGGTTGTCCTTGAGGTTATTCTGTCGACTGGTGGGGCGTTACATGAAGAAGATTTTTCCTGCGTCAGAGGCGAGTTATTGTTAGACTCTATTCACTCCGACCGACTGTCTGAGCAGCCCTTGTTGATCAGTGTTCGGACTAGAATCGGCACCGGATCAACCGTTATTGCAAACTCCGATAGCTGGGAGATCAAGCATATCATGCGGCCGGCTCCCAATATTGTAGGGATGCATTACACCAAGTCGAGGTGCATATGGGTGACGCCCACGTAAAAGGCACTACAGCAGCCACTAGGGGTCACGCTGCAAATGTGCTGGGCCATACACCGGGGTCAGATTGGCTCACGGCACGCGTTAGTCGGGCAGCGAAGACTGCGCGTCAGCCCATGACAAATGTCGCACACGGGATTAGCGTGTGACGGCACGCCTAGGTGTAGGCTCCATACCGCGCCAACCACTGCCCCCAACCGCAGTCTCAGATGGCTGGCAGGCTCGGAGAGCCGACTGACGCATGAGAGAGGGAGAAGAGAGAGGGAGATCGACTCCATATCAGAAGGTTGCGTGTTCGAATCACGTCGGGGTCACCAATGACGTTAATGGTGATGTTCTCACGAACTAACGAGTTATATCCCACGAACCCCTAGCCTTGAAGGCAGCAAGTAAAACCGAGCAGTGAATAATATAGGCATCCCGAGTGTTAAGTAACCTGACAACAGAGCGCGACAGCAAAGCAGCCCAGCAAGGCGGGTTGTACAGGTGTGTTTGATTTTCGTCACGTTCAAACAAGCAATCCGGGCAAAGAAAACGGGACTAAATTGTCATAGATAAATTAGTCTGGTACCTCACCACAAATTCAACCTCACGGCACACGAGCGTGCTTCCCACCAATGGGGGGAACCAGGTTGTGTGTGGCACATGAGGAGAGACTATTTAGCTTTTTCAGTCCACATCCGGCCGTCCTGACATTGTCTTGCAATCGGGGACAGGCGGATGATGGAGGAAAGAGTGCGCGGGGTGCTGCGAAAGTCTGCCTCACCATAAACTAATTTACGCGCAAATTACAGCCTCTCTGTGGAGCACGTGGTGGGTGTCATCTCCTGCAACGGCCTAGCCGACGTGTCGGCTCTTAAGATGCAGAAACATCGTCGAAGCACCTGCGTGGGCTTTTAGTTAGCATACTGTAGGTGGGCTAACTCATGAAATGTCAACCAAAATTCCGAAATGCATTTTCGTTTCGAAAAGATTAATTAAGTAGTTTTGTAGAACTAGTCAGCCTGCAGCATAATTCTATGATATTTCAGTTACCTCAGGATGCCGGCTTTCGAACGAACTTCCTTCCCGCTGCATGCAAATTTACACTCTGTAAAAAATGACTACTTACGTAGCATGAATTTTTCTCATTGATTTTTGATGCCCCTAAAAGTTCAATTATATTTCATGGAAAACATGCACAAAAATATTCATTCTTTCACTCATTCGGTAGATAATTACATCTTCCAAGCTTATACTCGAAGGAAGGGTATATTCCATTTTAAAAAAGTTTCCAATCGTGAGACTTTTAAATACCGTGAAATGGTCGTTCACTAATCGTCATGTTTCTGCTTTTACCAATGTGGCCTGTGAAGTTAACAA